AGTAAAACAGAAAGTGAAGAACAGGAGAGCACAATAATTAGCCATGGCTTGTAGCCGGCTAATTCAAAATAGTAGCGAGTGACCAAAGAGAGAGAGAGAGAAAAAAGTTTTGAGTGTGAGAGAGTTTGAACTAATGTGTTCCTGTCTGTTGATTGTTATTGAGAGAGCATGTATATAGTAGTTCGAAACTAGGTAAAATAAGGTAAGAATCACAATTGTATAGTAATTATGAAACTTAGAACCAACTAGAGCAAAATCAGTACAAGTACTCCCTTAATTAAGGGAATCAGTTCAAATAGTTAGAACATGTGGCAAATAAGGAAAGAAATCGATGTGTAACTAGAGTATAACAGACAAGGAAATAATTTAAACATAGTAGGCACAAAGTAAACAATTAGGGATAGGTTCAGAAAACTCTAATTAAGGAGATAGTCGGTAAGAATCAAGTAACAATGCAGACAAGGTAAGGGAAAGTTAGTTTAGGCAAGCAAATCAATCACATTGAGTAGGAAGGTAAGAATCGAAGGTTTAAAGGAAAGTTTTCAAATCAAACCAAGAAACATGGAATTCAGAATCAATCAAAGAGACGGTCATGAAAAGAGTTAGCGTTTAACATATAAATAAAGTAAGACGCAGATAGTCAAGAGTCGACATACAACTCTAGCAAACATGAGAGATAAACAATACTGATTCATTGAGAAATAGGCAGGTCTTGAACAGTCAAGATGAACACAAGCACGTAGAATCAGTGTAAGTTTAGGCTAAGAAACTCAGTAGAAACATATCAAGGTAAGATAGTCACGAGAAATCATAGAAACTTAAAACGAGAATTGGTCGGTCATGCTAATACACAGAACCAAACGAAGAACCCTAAAAATTAGGGCTTTCAGCATAGACGAGTTAAGATGTAGTATACTCATAGAATCAGTCAAAATATGTAAGAAATAGAAGTTTAAACACAAAGAATCAGTTAGACAAAGTTTTAAAAGAAGTTCCGAAAACCCTGGTTTTAGAAGAAGATGAAAACATTTAAAATCACATGATTTTTGTAAAGAACCTTAAGAATGGTGTAAAACATTCAAGAAACAACTCAAATCGTCCTAGATTTGTACAGATCTAGGAGGTGTAGAAAAAAATAGGGTTTTGAAAGAAGCCCATATGGAGATGAAGAAACCTATCTGGAAACCCAAGGACCGTAGCAAATATAGAGTGATTTCGCTTGGAGTCCCACTGGAATAGCCAGGAACAGGCAGGAGATGAACACTAGATGCAAGTCGGCATGACCCTGGGCCCTTGAGGACCTTAGAGAAGGCAAGACTGGCATGAGAGAAGCCATGAGAGGCTTAAGAAACGATGAGAGGTCACCGAGATGACCAGAGATGGGAGGTTGGCGTTTGAAGACTAGGGTTAGGTTGAGAGTGTTTTGAGAGCAGAGAGGAGTTTAGGGCGGTGGGTGCATAGGAAATGATTAGGGTTGGGGGATCGTTTGGGATTAAAAAAGGTAAGTTTTAACAAGGGCCGTTGATCTTTTAGATCAACGGCCATGATCTGATGGCATCTTGGGTCGGGTAGATGTATATTGGGCCTGGGTCGAGTAATTTGATCTGAAATTGGGCTGGGGTATTGGGTTGAATTGAGGCTGAAACTGAAATACAATTTGGATATGTTTAAATAGCCAATTTAACCTTATATAATTTATAATAAATAATAAGTAATTTCTAAAAAATAATTTCGTGTACTAAAATGATTTAAAATAACTGTTTAATATTTTAAAAATATAAAATACCCTTTTGTGCAATAATAACGTAATTGTACATTAATAGGACTAAATTGCATTCGTATGCAATTTGGCTTTTAAAAAATAATACAATTATAAAAATGTACTAAAAATATTTAAGCAATATTTTGGCACAAATATAGAATTTAGATGGCTAGATCACCACGAAAATAATTTGAAGGATACTTATTGGAGATTTTATGAGTAAAAAGGGAGGAAATAAATCAATTTGAAGCCTTTAAAATTATAGAAAAATTATAAAAAATGCTTATGCATGCTTATATATGCATATATTCTAGTTTGAAAGTATATTTATGTATTAAAAATATGTAGGGAAAAATTGGGTATCAACACACATGACTCACTAAGGACGGTCCCATTCCGTCTCTCAACTAATGCAAGTATTCACGAAGCCACGAGATATTAAGCATTAAGCACAGAGTAAACATAAGTCAAGTAAATGAGATATAGGCGCCACAAAACATGCTATCCAATTTATAAAGGCATCATGATCAATTTTAAAATATAGGGAAAGTACTACACATACCAAAGCCTAAATATGCTACTCAAACAAGTCAAGAGCGCATAGGAATCTCATATTTCTTCCTCCATTTATTTCCTAAATTCTAATCTACTCTAAAATTGAAAAACTACTGCCCGGTTCAAACTACAACCCATGGGAAAGAATCGAGGCACAAAGAAAAACCATGGGAGATTATTACTACCTAAAAAGCAAAAAGACATATTTTGTATTATTAATATTTTTTCATTTTTTTACTAGACTTTAATCCCTCAAGAAAACTGTCTAGGAGATCCATCGTCAGGAAAAGTCCAATATTTTTCAATTGTTTCATTTTTTAATTTTAAAATTAATCGCCTAAAATACTACACTATTATAAAAAACAGAAATACGAAACTGAAAAAAATAAGAAATTAACATACTAATATAAAACTACTAATGATCTAAAGGAAATTCTTTACCCCACACTTAAAAGAGTGTAGTGTCCCCAATGTACAAATAAAGCAAAAAATGACAAGGGTAGACAAGAAACTCCCTGAAAGGCCAAAGGCCAAAGCACAAGCAGCTCACGGGGTACTCAAACTTCTCCCAAGGATGGTCCTTTGTGCGGGAATCCCACACTTAGTTCCAACCATCAGGCTCACTTTTGCAAACTTCCTATGGCTTTGCTCCATATGCTCAAAATCCTACAAAATAAAACAACACTACAGAAATAATACAATAAGAAAAAAAATCAAAAATAAAAGAAAGCAGTAAAAATAGGTTGCCTCCCAACAAGCGCCTAATTTAACGTCACGGCATGACGTGAACCATTTTTTATCTTCACCTCGAACTTATGAATTGTACCCCTAAAAGGGCATCCCGACCGTGACTATGCTCCTTTGGTGGGGATACAAAAATAAACAGGCCAAGTAATAAATTTTGTCACTCTATATTTCTTGGCCTTTATATGAGGAACGTAATTTTTTCTCTCTGGCACGACGAATTCAAGAATTTAAGCACCATGTTCCTCGTCCATTGGCTCCTCCAAAGCGATTTTCATGTCATCATCCAAATACAATGTTGAAAAATACATGTAATAAGGACCAATATTCCCTAACTCTAGAATTGTATTACTCTTTACATCCTCATATTTGCATGCACAAGAGTCGTCAAATATGACATTATCTGCTTCTATACTCAACATGGGCATCATCAACAAAAATATGCTCGAATGATTGGCTCTCCACTTTTAGCTCCTCAATTTGGCGTATAAGCTCCTTTTCAGCTTCACACAACTCATTACTATTTTGTTGGGCGTTAG